GAAGTGGCACTGTGGCTCAAGTGGTAGAACGCTAGCCTTGGGCTGAAGAGCTAAGGGACAGCACCCAGGCCCAGAGTTCAGGCCCACGACCGGACCAAAAAAAATAAAATAAATTTCTAGCTACTGAGGAGGCTGAGATTTTAGGATTGAGGTTCAGCCTTCTAAGTAGCTAGGATTATAGGTATGAGCCCCTGGTGCTCAGATGAAAACTTTTTAATTATAGTATTTTGGAGAGAACCTTTTGTCACTTTTAAGCAGAAGTTATCTGTCTGTCTCTATATCTATCTGATCCATCAAATGTTAGAACGTAAAAATAAGTAGACACCTGTAAGATAAAGAAGAAAAGATAATCTCTTCTGTATAATCTAAACCAAACCAGTACAAGAAGGCCTTAAATGACATTGAAACTTAAGTTAGATTTAAATTGAAATTCCCGATTCTAGTGCTGTGCTTACCTTATACTACTCTTTTTCTATTACCCTATAACCATGTTGCATACTGGAGATTTTCCTTATTTTTAAAGTTCATTTTTATTGTTTATGAATTTTATCTAGAATGTAAATTCTGAGGGCTGGGTTTCTGTCATATATCAGAAGACTTGTAGCAATGTTTGACACCTACTAGTCACCATCCAAACCATATTTTTTTTTATTGTGAAAATACCATACAGATGGGTTATAATTACATGGGCAAGATAATTAGTACATTTCTTATCAAGCATTGTTGCCTCCTCCTTTGTTTCCCCTTCCCATCCCTTCTCCTCTCCACCCCGCCGTCCCCCCAAGCCTCCCCCAACCCTATTGCCCCCTCCCGCCAAAGTTGTAAAGTTCGTTTTTCTTTTTTTTTAAATTTTTATTTTTTATTGTGAAAATACTGTACAGAGGGGTTACAATTACATGAGTACATTTCTTACCAAGCATTGCAGCCTCCTCCTTTGTTTCCCCTTCCCATCCCTTCCCATCCTCCCTCCGCCCCCCCAATCCTCCACCCCCCGCCCCCCCGCAAGTTGTAAAGTTCGTTTTCAACATGACAACTTGTACTTCTCATTGTTGAAACAGGTCCACCTGTATCCTTATTTAAACGACTTGTTTTTCCCCTTCCCCTCCACAAATTATACCGACATCAAATACAGTGAAAGCAGGGGTTATACTGTGGGGAAGGGACATACAAAACAACAAAGAAATAATCTTATAATTGCGTTAGAAACAAATGCATGAAAAAAAAAACATTTAAAATACATATCTTAGGGTTCATTTTCCTAACATCAC